CATTATGTAATAAGTAATAGGTATATTAGTAAACTTTTGGCATATTTGTTTCGCTATTGATGAATCGATTTTGATTACATTTTAACCCGAAGCATGATACTTAGTCTAATTTATTTTGAAAGTAAAATCTCCATTATTTTTAATGATTGACAACAACTCGAGCCAAAACCGCAGGTTAAACTATTATGTCATAAATATGTTCACTTGTGTGTCAACTTAAAAACATTTTAAAATAAGCTACAGATTAACCTCTTTAAATAAAATAAAAAAAAGCAAAACACTTCATTCAAATATTTTCTAAAAAATAATGCAATTATTTTTAGATTTGTATATAGTTTTTTTACTAATCAATATAAAATGTAGTTTACACAAAATCTCACTATAACATTGCCACATTTGTAGTTTTTTTTAAACAGATAGGTTAAGTTTCAAAAAATCAAATAATAATAAATTAGACCAATTTTATTTATCAAAAGTTCATAAATATTGAATAAAAAGAGGGTTTATGTAGCACTTCTGCCTACCCCTTCAGAGAATAAATAGAGTGATATTTAAGGTTATAAATGTCTTAATAAAGTCCAAATCTCTTTTATATCATGAAGGGATAAGCAGAGTTAAATAAGATAACCGTTTTCTATAATATAAATAAATTCCTATGTTTTCTGTTAATTAAAATTGGCCCAAATACATACATGATTAGACACGAAAAGAACAAAAACATTTATATATATAAACCTAACACATTTATATATAGAAATAACATTAAGTATATTAAAAACTCATTTATTTTGACATAAACCCTTTACACAAAACACAATTGTTTTTTTATATAAATCAAATAAAAAAAAGTATCTTATACATTAACTAAAAATCGCGGGTTACTCACGTGAATATACTGAGAAAAGCTCTACTAGTTCCGAGCCACAGAGGGATTCTTCCTCATGAGCAGCGTGCGCGGTCGCGGCGAAGTCGCGCAGCCTACTGAGGAAGAACCCCTCTGTGGTTCGAAACTAGTAGAGCTTCTCTCAGTATATTCACGTGAGTAACCCGCGATTTTTAGTTAATTTAATATGTCTCACGATAGTTACTATAAAAACATATCTTAAACATTATTTTAAAATCTAGATTTAGGCCTAAAATACTAAAACATCGAATTGCATTTAAACATCAAATATTTCAGGTGCATTATCGACATTAAGCGTTTAGGAACTTATATACTGTACACAGATTCATGACTACTGCTCCCTATATTTAATAAATAAAGATGAAATAGAATACTAGGTACTGCTGTTTCTTTATAAAAACCTTATTTATTCCACATTTAGCTAGTTAAAGCAATAAAAAGATCTAACTAAAACATTAAAATCAATTCATTCAGTTTACATTCATTCAGTCATTCATTCGCGTTGACAAATAATTCACTACCTCTCTCACACTTTCAAACTTCTTTTGATTTAAAAAAACAAGTTTAACATAATATAACATCACGCCTTTCTTCCCCGAAGGGGTAGGCAGAGGTGCACATTATGACACTTAATGTCACTGTACCATGTAACACCCACTTTTCACTATTTATATTATGAGTCCCATGTAATAGGCGTATTGCCATATACCGGGCACAATTTCAGACTCTGTGCTACCACTGAGATTTTTTTTAAACAACCCAGTAATACTTTGGCCGACCCGGGAATCGAACCCGAGATCCCTTGCCTGGCAGTCGCACTTGCGACCACTCGTGAATTAAGAAACACGATTCTGACATACCTCTCTCGCTTCATCTACATTTATCAACCACTTTCAACGCACGATCGATAAATGAAATTCGAAAATATTTTTAAATATATATATCTAATTGTCCCTGGGGCTTAAAACTTACTATACTAATTATTTAATACACAATTTAATCATTTCTATCTACCTGACTTACTGGCTTGCTTCTTAATCACTTTTGTCGTTTATCTAACCATTTAAAGCAGAATTTCTGGGTATTCTATGTATACATATGTAAATACCTAAATGAGGTATAAACCTGTATTTGTCGCGTAGTTGGATAAAACCTTCGCATATGGAGAAGGAATCATTAATCACCATGCTTGTAGGGAATTGGTTTTTAACTTATAATTTGAAATTATAGTATTTCCTTTACGACGTTTTCCTTCATCGTATATCAGTATAGTACCCAAATATGAATTAGTTGTATAATTATAATTTATTTATACTACTAATAAATTGATGTTATATATTGTGCGCCTAATTTTATCTTCATTTAAACATTACTTACGCTTTTTAATAAATCGTAAATTTAGAATCGATTATGATTTTTTTTCATATCTATCATTTAATTTTTATGATTTAGATTTATAATGGGTTCAAAAGTTTTGGGATTTTTAGCCGTATTTTGTCTATTTCATATTATAGCCTATAAAACTATCTACCTAAAAATACATTGAAAAATAATTACTAAAAGCTAATTATAAATTATTTTAAATGCTCCGTTCATGGCATAATTATGGCAGTTTCACATTGATCACACTCATTGTAAATTCAATCTTAATAAAAAATTATTAAAGTAGATATTTCTTTGACTATAGGACATAAATTTATTTTTTTAACATTAATCTATCAATGCTGAAACTTAATTTTATACACACGTCACACCCAGATGCGGAACAATTTTTTTTCTCAAATAAATAGTTGTTCCGTGCGGGAATAGAACCCGCGAACGACAGACAGTAAGTTTTCTAAACGAATTGCATTGTAAAATGTAATTAGGTACTTGCCAACTAGTCATATTCAATACTTTTTTCGAACTGTCAAAAACGACAGTTTTCTATGAATTTCGTACGAGATTGTTATTGTAACGTTAGGTTTTTTTTAGCGTCAAACAGCGTACATATATCTTAAAAATTTGCTGAAAAAATACTAAAATTAAGTTGGTCATAAAATCAATTAATGAAAGTGTGACTATTTTTTAATATTTCATTGTATTGAACAGTCGATATAATTATTAAGAGAAGTACCCAATTTTGTGCATTTTTTTCATTCACTTAAATCACTTAAAACATTATTTATACATTAACTCGTCGAGTACCGGTTTTGTAGACACAATTATAGAACAATAGGTTGCGGTCACCGGTGACCGCTTGGTGTTTGACAGTTTAATACATATTTCCAAAACCACATATAAACATATTTTAGTTATTGAACGTTATATAAACAGATATATATTAAGACTTTCGCTATCAGAGGGCGCTAGCTTAACTTAACTCTATTAACTAATTTATTATTTGTTAATGTCAAAGTTATTAGGTCAGTTGACTCGTGATAGTTAAGCTGATTTGACTAATAAGACCTTACAGCTCACTAGCGCCACCAAGCGAGAGAAAAATCTAAAACTCTTATTATATAAGAGTTATGGTAAAGGAACCGAGGTAATCAATATACTAAATTATGTTTATATAGTGTTATAAAAATAATATTTAAAGTTATTTTGTGTCTTACAGGCAAAAAATACTGTTATAAATACCAAAATAATAAATAATACAAAACATATTATAAACTACAATTAATATTAATTACTAAAAAAAACATTATTTCTACGGCATTTAAACTTATACTACATTGACTAATGCTTGATTGATAGATTGACATACAAACGTTCGATTGATTGATTGACAACAAACGGATGATTGATAAATCTATCTATAATGGTGGGGTTACCTGTTTCTTGTACTTTACATTCCCTTTCTATTTGGGGTTCAAATAACGTCAATTTCTTGATAACCTGTAGAAAAGAAAAAATATCATTGTTAGTTTATTGTTAAATTTATTTTTACAGAATTAGATTTTGATAGTTGCAGTGGAGTAAGAATAATCTCTTTTTATAGAAATGCTTATTAATTTAATTGTGTATGTGTGTGTGACCGCTGGAAAAGGCGTCTCGGATTCGATTCCCAGGTCGGGCAAAATATTACTGGGTTTAAATAATATATAAAAATTCTCAGTACTAGCGCGGAGTATGGAATTGTGCCCGGTATATGGCAATAGGCTCATCCCCCCGCCCTCCTATTACATGGAACTCATAACATAAATAGTGAAAAAAGGGTGTTACATTGTACAGTGACATTAAGTGCAGTAATGTACACCTCTGCCTATCCCTTCGGGGATATATTCGGCCACCGGAACGCGGGCGAAGCTAGTGTATGATATACGTATGTACTTACAAGTAAACACGTGCGTCCCGTGTTTACTCGTCCTCCTCCTGCTAGGTGTCTTGAGGCGCGCAGTATAGCGTCGCCTGCCGGTGGACGCCTGTGAATAAATCTATATATATGTTTATAACGGAGGAACACATACATTTATATATATGTATAGTTTAAAAAAATATAAATAAAAAAAAGTAAATTTAAAATAAAAGAAAATAAGTTTAAAGTTAAATCAACTAATGAGTATAGGTACCATTATTTAGAAAAGTTATTATTGTCATTCATTTTGAGATTCATTATTATGATAGTTAGATTTTTAAATAGTATTGTATATAAAACCTGTATCTATCCTAAGAAAACTATGTTTGTTTTTTTCGAATGGTAATAAAAAATATAAATATATACCTAAACCTCTTCCCTTGCTGACTGACTGTCTGACTGAACGTTTGACTGACTGTCTGACTGAACGTTTGACTGATTGTCTGGCTGATCGTTTGATTGACTATCTGACTGAACATTTGATTGACTGTCTGGCTGAACGTTTGATTGACTGTCTGACGGAACGTTTGACTGATTGTCTGACTGAACGTTTGACTGATTGTCTGGCTGATCGTTTGATTGACTGTCTGACTGAACATTTGATTGACTCTCTGACTGAACGTTTGATTGACTGTCGGACTGAACGTTTGATTGACTCTCTGACTGAACGTTTGATTGACTGTCTGACTGAACGTTTGATTGACTGTCTGACTGAACGTTTGATTGACTGTCTGACTGAACATTTGATTGACTCTCTGACTGGCTGTTTGATTGACTGTCTAAATGGCTGTTTGATTGACTATCTGCCTGGCTTTTTGATTGACTGTCTGACTGGCCGTTTGACTGATTATCTGACTGACTGACTGACGGAGAGGGCACCGCTGCAACCACTGGATCTAGGAAACTGAAACTTAGTATCTGTATTCCTTGGGGAGTGTAGGGTAACCACTTAAGTTTTCCCTAAATTCCCATGGGAACAATAATAGAAAAAATACAAAAAAATTAATAAATGGGAATCACTTGTTGGTGCGTATGAAGGTGCTTGAGAAACTGGTAAATCAATATTTCCATAAGTATTACACAAAAAATAAATTATAAAAAAAATTAAAAACCCAAAAAACACAACCCCACACACACCTACTTTTATAAATTAACATTTTAAAACAATAAAAAAATGTACTAAGCACGAGAGTTGTCTCTGCGCTCGATAGATGGCGTTGTACAATTCCGTACATTTCCTGAATCGCGCTATGGTTTCGTTACACGCGTTTAGCTAGGGTCGGCGGTCGACACTCAGTTAGTCGAAGTCGTTATTACGACGCCCCTAAGGGACTATAACATAACTGGTATTTTTTGATATAAACTCGTAGTCGAGAGACTTGCGAGTTTTAATAAACCTAAAAATAGACAGTTAAATCTTGAAATATATTTAAAACTGTAATTAAATACGCGTTTAAAACCATTGATATTAGAAAATAAGGACTTTTCTAAGGAGCCTAAACTCGATACTCGATGTTTCCTAGCAGATACTTCTAGATTCTATCAGCCACCTTCCCAATTCCACCATCAGGCCAGGTCAATGGCAACATAAAATATTTGTAACAAAAATACTAATAAGATTACTCCAGGACTCAAAAGTTGTAAGATAACTAGTAAAAAGTGGATATTTACATAACGTGCATCTCTGCCTACCTCTTTTAAAATTAAAATGCGGGACGTTATAATATGTAACAGTTATGTAACGCCATCTATCGGTACAATTAGAGAATTAACTAAATTTGTGGGTGTTCATGGGGATAGTACATTTATATATCGAGGTGTCGCGCGTGTCTGTAGGATGCCGATTGCTTACCATCAGGTGATCCGTCTGCTCGTTTACTTTACCGGCCGAAATGATTCAAATTCAATTATCTTTATTGCTGAACTCAGTACATTAAGATCCATTGCAAGATGTTAGATGATTGCGCAGTTCACTATGTTCCACTAATCGAGGCATGCAATTGACTATTTACTTATTTTATTTTTGACTGCCTTTTGACTTTTGATTGACTGCCTCATCGGCCCAGCGGTCGCAAGTGCGACTACCGGGCAAGAGGTCTCGGGTTCCAGTCGGGCAAGTATTACAGGGTTTTAAAAAAATTCTCAGTAGTAGCACGGAGTCTGGAATTGTGCCCGATATATGGCTCACCCCCTATTACATGGGGCTTATAACATAAATAGTGAAAAGTGGGTGTTACATTGTACAGTGGTATAATGTGCACCTCTGGCATCCCCTCGAGGGTGGGTGGTCGGAAAAGGCGTGATGTTATGTGATGTTATTTTGTACAATTAATGACAAAAATCGATCTATCTTCACACCCATCACCAATCTTGGTTAATAATATCGGCCGATAGAGGTTTAATTAAAATGTTATTTTATTATCTGTTAATAAGTTTTCTCAAACTCACCAGGGTATCGATGCTGGTCGCAAGGGTCCGGATGGTCAGGGTCCGGTGGCGGAGCCCTGGTGAGCGCCTCGTCCCCTCCAGGGAGACAGGTCTCCACCATCGCTTCTAAGCAGTTCACGAACAGCTCACTGCTTTCTGCTGTGCATTGGTTCTGTAAAGTGAATTGTTCAATTATAGTACATTTTTTTATAGAAATTTCGTCTCAGAGAATAGGGATGATGACAGTATATGAAAATTAAATTTCTAATTAGTCCGTAAGTTAGGTAATAAAGAATTATTAGACACGTATTTTTTATTTTGTCGTATAATAAAACAATACTTAGATAAAACGAATCAAACTTTAGGAGTGGGGGCTAAAACGTCATTTCTACGTATAATGATAAATGATGATGTACATAGAAGTGACGTCACGCGACATTTCAAATCAATATATCGTCGAAAGTATTAGTTTCTGTAAGAAAATAAAAAATACGTGTCTAATGATTTAATATAATCTCCCAGACGGACATTAAAATAAAAATTAGGCATCTACCTTATTGGGTACTTTCAATAGTTAAAAATAAATTATTTCGACTTTTCGATACAATCAAATATTTGCTTTTACGATATAGGTAAACAGTTTTCAAATTAATCTACTTACGTGTAACAACAATAATAAAATTCAGTGTATACAAGTTCAGTCTGTGAGTAAAGAATACAATGTTAAACGTCATTATACAACTGAAAAGCTCGACTTGCTGTAATGCAGTGTGTATTGACACCAACGCTTATGTATGGTAGTGAATCATGGGTGTGGCAGAAGAAGCATGAAAGCAGGATTAATGCGGTGGAAATGAGAGCCCTAAGAAGTATGTGTGGACTAAAATTGAGTGATCGAGTGAAAAATAGTGTTATTAGAGAAAGGTGTGGATCGAAAGATGATGTAGTAGTACGAGAGATGACGACCAAAACCATGTCTCATAGCAATACGGCAAAAACCCTATAAAATCGTTAGATTGTATGATTCTGAACCCAACTAGGTGTGTAGTAACGGTCGAAAGTGTAGCAACTGCGTGGGAGGCCATTTCTGCTATGTCAAAAATATCTGAGTATCGAAAAGTTGTCTGATAGAGAAGGTGCTACACTTATTTTGTCTGATATAATTTTTTTGCACATGTGGACAACTTATTTTATCATGTTCAACAATTTTCAGACATATTATTGCCATGATACCGATCGGTAAAATTTGTTAACATTTTCAAAACGGTCTCAATATTTAATGTGTTCACATTTCTGTCTGAAAATTGTTTTGTTCGCCTCAAATAACCAAAATTTACTAATAAAAAAGATTTTCAGACGTATTGCTATAAGACATTTTTTTTGTCTAATTTTTAATTTTTTTTAATAAAAAATTTTGGTCGTCATCTCTCGTACTATAGTGACAAGGATTGAAAAGGGAATGTTACGCTGGTTTGGACATGTAGAAAGGAAGGATGAAAGTAGAGTGACGAAAGAAGTATACAGAGCGGATATGAATGGGGCCGTCGGTAGAGGGCGTCCTAGACGAACATATCGTGACCAGATTGGCGACATATTAAAGAAGGGCCAAATTAAAAGTACCCTTAACCGACGAGCATGCATGAAAAGATTGATGACTGTTAATGAACGAAAGAGGGATGTAGGAATCGTCGTAATTGGCGTTCCTTAGTGTCTACCTACCCCCATGGGAGACAGGCGTGAAATTATGTATGTACAACTGAAAATATTTTTCTGGCCCTTCAGCTTTTGTTAGAAATTTAATTAGCCCGCGAGGATAATTATATAGTTTGGACAGCCCAGTGTCTTTATCCAAATGCCACTTTAGCGCTTGTCTACAGAGAGAGTAGAAATCAAAATGTATGGGGATGACACTGACAAGTGTCAAAATTTACGTCAATTCTATATAATTTGGTTTTCTATTCTACATGTAGAAAAAGCGCTAAATGGCATTTGGCTACAGCTGCTGAAGTGAATAATAAATTTCCTTTTTTTAAGGGGGGAAAATCATCGAATGACTGCTCCCGCCTGGGTGAGGCGGGAGGGAGTGTCAGACTCTTACTGACTAAAAACCACCCCGTTCCTTCTCCTGCACGTCGAGCCGGAGCCCCGGTTACTCGTTAGGTTCTTCGCGACTGTAGACTCACCTTAGTGAATGGTCCTGCAAATCTCCAGAGACCTCCAAAGCCACAACTCTGCATATAATGCAACTGTTGTTGACTCGCGTCTTCGCTCGCTATCATATTCTGAAACATATCAAATCACGGCTTTTATCCCCGAAACGGTACACCTCTACATTACGGCACGTAATGTATATATAAATAAATATTATTTTAGATATTATTTTAGCTGTTACAAAATACTTGTCGACCAGTTTAATTGGGTAGTATCCTGGGTAAATTATTTTGATTTTTCAGTCCAATTAAATATTAAAAAATAGTAACTGTTACATGTTTGTTTAGTCTGTATCATCACTAATTAGTAAGAAGTGGCCCTCTCACTGTAATCCTTACTAATATTATAAATCGGAAAGTGAGTTTGTTTGTTTGTTTGTTCTGCTTTCACGCCGTAACTACTAAACCGATTGCTTTGAATTTTTGCAGACGTAAAGTTAGAAGTCTGGATTAAATAATAGGGTACATTTTATCCCGGAAAAATTGATATTCCCAAGGAAAAACAAAAGTATTGGTATAGATGGCGCTGTGTGTATTGGTATATGTCGCATAGGCTACTTTTTATCCTTTTGTGACGCGAGCGAAGCTGCGGGTAAAAGCTAGTGTGTTATATAAGGTAGGACACTCGTCAGTAAGTCGTTGTCTACCTGTCATAGTCTAGTGTGTGTACACGTCGTGCGCCCTGCACCTTATTGTAATAAATCCAAGTAAAATAAGTCCGACTATAATTTAACAATCCACATAACTGTTCCTGACGTCACATCGGGCTCACCACCATACGTGACCCGCGACTGCTGCGATCGGCGGTCACTCATTCACTCGCTCGCCCGACACGACGCCGTGCGCACATATCGGTTGACCCTAACAATCAGTACCTATCTAAATACAGTCTTCTCATCTTACCGAAGTCTTTTATTATTCAAGACCACCAGCAGCACACCTGGAGCTTGATATTCAAACATAACAGTTACACTTTAATTCATTGATTTGCCGATATACTTAATTTTCGATTTATTCTAGCATTGTTTTTAGATATAAGTGTGCTATTTGACGCGAAAATATGATGACGTCATAAGATGGTATTTCGTACAAAATTCATAGAACATTATCGTTTTTGACGTTTCGATAAAAGTATCGAATTTGACTAGTTGTCAAATACCGTATTATTATGACTTATATCTATATTAATAATTTCGTCAAGGGGTACAGTAGACTCGATCGAAACATTACCTGAATAACAAAACATTAAAAAATATCGATTTCGAGTAGACAACATATATCAGCAAAATTCGGATTACGGAGATTATTTCGTTTTATTATTTCATTTTAACTCGTCGAGTACCGTCATTATAGACACAATTATATATATAACAATAGGTTGCGGTCACCGGTGACCGCTTGGTGTTTGACAGTTTAATGACACTGACAGACAAACCGCAGTCGCCATCTTGAGTAGGCAATAAACGTTCCGTTTCATACTAGCTCTCAAATACGCCTCGCCAATCAACGCGTTGTCGCGTCAATAAAGTATAAATTAACAAGAAATATGAATAATTTCACGCGAACGAAGTCGCGGGTAGCAGTTACCTGTATAATACTCTGTACAGCGCTCAGAATGAGTTGATCATGACAGTGCATCAACACGTGGTTGATCTTCATGTCCAGTAGACTGTGACTGTAAAGGGAAACATAATATTAATGTTAGTTTGAACCTCATTTACTTAACATAGTCCGTGCCGTCCGACTGCCGTCGGCCGAGTAGCCCCAAGTACGACTGCCGGGCAAGGGGTCTCGCGTTCGATTCCCGAGTCGGACAAAGTATTAGAGGTTTTTTTTTAGTCTTCGTCGTAGCACGGAGTCTGGAATTGTGCCCGGTATATGGCAATAGGCTCACCCCCTATTACATGGGACTCATAACATAAATAGTGAAAAGTGGGTGTTATATTGTACAGTGGCATTAAGTGCCGTAATGTTATGTGTGTGTTACTTAACATACCTTTTATTCCCGAAGCGGTAGGCAGAGGTGCACATTACGGCACTCAATACCACTGTACAATGTAACACCCACTTTTCACTATTTATGTTATGAGTCTCATGTAATAGGGGGTGAGCGTATTGCCATATACCGGGCACAATTCCAGACTCCTTGAACTTATTTATTTATTTATTTGGCCTCCAAATCCAACAAAATATAGATTTATTTGTGAAAATATAATCTACTAGACATTACAATTGTCTTATAATGCTTCAACTAAACAATATATGAATGACTAACTAAAAATCGTGGGTTACTCACGTGAATATACTGAGAAAAGCTCTACTAGTTTCAGTGACCTGCGCGATATCGCCGCGACCGCGCACGCTGCTCATGAGGTTCCCCTCTGTGGTTCGAAACTAGTAGAGCTTTTCTCAGTATATTCACGTGAGTAACCCGCGATTTTAGTTAATTTAGTATGTCTCATGATAGTTATTAAAAAATATATATCAATGATCTCTGGCTCTTATATTTTGTTCTATATTTTTTCGTCATTATGTAAACAAAA